GTGTGTGTATGTATGTGTGTGTGTGTGTGTGTGTGTGTGTGTGTGTGTGTGTGTGTGTGTGCGTGTGTGTGTGTATATAGGCGCCGGACTGCAGAACTATAGTTTGGCTGATCCGGTTATAGTCTCTTATACCGGTGTCTTATTATCCGCGATTTATTTCAGTGTAAGATTATATATCACTATATATACCCTTGTCAACGCGACAAAGGCTTTGCTTCTGTGGCGACGAAGTAGACACTCCCGCGTCAATATATGCTATGTCCCCGACGGAAATAGTGGTCATCCTACACCGTTTTTGTCATCCGTACTTTGTGATTGTCATCTGTGACGTTCACGACGTTTTGACACTCGGTTCTGCCCTTCCGGCAATACAGCGATCGTGCCTCTGCACGTTAAATTCTCTGGATTCCGAAAACTCCCGTCTCCAAAATGACCCTTACGTCGGACATACGCGTATATTAAATATCAGCCATGCGATTGGTTAACCAATAGTAATCGCGCAACAATGACGACGACGACGAGCCAGGGTAGAAACGTTACACAAACAATAAACAACAATAAACATGCACTGCGATGAAGTTGTCGCCCCATGCCTTGTATTTTTTATTTATTTTCTGTTGTTTACGTTGTTTCTACGTGGCAGTTCCTTGTATATTATGTGCATATGTTTATTATGTATATTATGTATATTATATATTATTATATATATATATATATATTATGTTCTTTGTATATTCGTGCATTCCTTGTATATTATTGTTTATTTATTACTGTTGTTGTTTTTACGTGGCAGTTCCTTGTCGGTCTGGCGCAGACAGGACCGGCGAGGTGGACCGGGGTGATTTGCAGCCAGCAGGCTAAGTTCTGCTCAAGCAGCGCTGACGGACATAAGAACAAGAATGTAAGCGACAGTCAATAACCTCTGCCGCGTCGCAGCACGCAACCTTTCGTCCAAGGACACTCAGATCTATCTGAATTTATTATCTTCTTGCAACCTTGTTTGAAAACACTCATTTGGATCAAGAGCCGGGTTTCGATAATGAAGGAAAATATATATGTTATAGATAAAAGTATTAGCATAGTAAGATTATTAACGTAAGGTGCATAACGTGAGTGCATGTCAACGTCAGGATAACGTTATCGTCACGATACTTTACGTATTTTCCACATCAAATTTTAGACAGTTTCTTTGTCGTTACTAAGTACACCTTTACTAAGATAATATACTAACAAGAGCGTATTAAGTATGCTAATTTAGCATTAGTATTAAGCATACTTAATACGCTCTTGATACTAATGTACTCCTACTATGTGCGTTTATTCACCCTATGTCTGTTTATTTTACTGATATGTTTCCTTTCGCTTTTACTTCGATATTTTGTATTATAATGTAGAAAGCTCGCCTGTGGGTAAAATGATTCGAGACCAAGCTTTATTTATAGATAGATAAACTTTAAGTTAAAATGTAAATGAAACAATCAAGCATCCTCATGCGAGTAATTGCTTTGAAGACTAGCACTAGATCTCCCCATATTGAGAAGATTTAATAAAGATTTCAATATCCCAATATTCTGCGAACAATTCCGAACCGACGTGCCAACTATCTCATTAACTAAATAATAAGCCAGGCGCGGCATCGTTGTTACAATACTAACATAGTGATTAGTAATATATCGATTTATATTTTAGATTATAGATTTTAAATAGGATTTTAGTGATTACATAGTCAACTTTGTATTAATATCATTTTACCTCACAGTTAGAGATATATCTCACATGAACACTTTTATTATCCGTTCATTTTAATGTTTAGACGTTTGCGATAGGCTGCGATTTTGATCATATTATGTAAAAAGGCGCAATATAAATATATAAATAATAATAAGAAGAAGAAGAATAACAATAATAATAATAATAATAATAATAATAATAATAATAATAATAATAACAATAACAATAACAATAACAATAACAATAACAATAACAATAACAATAACAATAACAATAACAATAATAATAACAATAACAATAACAATAACAATAATAATAACAATAATAATAATAATAATAGTCTAGTGCGGCTCGCATGAGAACACGCTCAATCATATCAGCGTGACTTGTCCACGTGACGCGCAGGTGACCGGACGCCGCGAGGTTTGGTTCTGGTTCTGGGGCATCAACTCCCATTGGCCCGGCATGGCGCGTGACATGCTCAAGTTTCCGGCCTTCTGCAACTCGATTGCGAAGTCGTCGGAGATCGTGAGCGATCTGGCTGGAATTAATCTACTGCGGCTGGTCACGAGCATGGAGAAGAAGAAAGTAGATCCGGCTATGGATTGCGTCTACACAAATGTGTCGATCGTTGGCATGCAAGTAAGCAGTGAATCAGAAAAGCCATCGAAGCCATCTCTCCTTCTCTGTCTCTCCCCCTGTGTGTGTCTCTCTCTCATCCACACACATACACACACACGCACACATACACACACACACACGCGCGCTCACACACACACAAACACACACACACACACACACACACACACACACACTTCACATACACACATTTTCATCCTTTCCCTTCTCTCTCTCTCTCTCTCT